TTTTTTTTAAAGGTCTGTCTATGATGGTGAGGAACATGGAAGATTCATGGAGAAGCTTGAAACTCGCATCCGCAATCATGACCGAGAAATTGAGAAAATGTGTAACTTTCACTACCAGGGCTTTGTGGACTCTATAACTGAACTGCTGAAAGTGAGAGGAGAAGCCCAGAAACTCAAAGTAAGGACACTCTAAGACAGACTTGTTTCTCTCTCCTATGCTGGGGTTTTGACTAGCATTAAGGGAGTAGGGAATACATTGCAGGTTGCATATTTACTACCAATAAGATTTTTGTATAGTAAGAGGGGAATTTGTACTGAAATATAGATAAAAAAGAAAACTTTCAAGTTAAATTTATTTGGGATAACTACATGTGATGAGAACCAGTAACAGAATAAATAATAGTTTCTTTCAAACAGAAACTCAATTGACTCTTCATGACACCCGTCTACTTCCTTGTTAAATAAAAGTCATCCCTGTAGGATGATGGTATTGCAGGGCGTGGCTATAGAAGTCTGCAGCATGGCAACCTAAGCCAAAGGAAAAAAATCAGTGACAGTTGTGGAATATCTTCTACCAAAGCATGAAGGTTCTTTCTTGATATGACAGGTTCAAGTTCAGGAAGGAAGCTAGCCATATATTTTGGTCCCTGACCTAGCAAATTCGGTTATCTTAGATAACTGACTTTGCTTATTGATTTTAAATCTAACCACTTCACTAAACTCTTCTATTATTTCTAATAAGTTATATGTAGATTTTTTTGAGTTTTCTGTGTAAACTTACTCATATGATCTGCAAGTAATTACAGCTTTATTTCCTTCTTTCTAATCCTTATACTTCTAATTTCTTTTTTTTCCTTTTTTTTTTTGGCTCCTTTCTTTCTTGTCTATGTTTTTTTGGTTTTGTTTTTGTTTTGGTCTTATTGGAATTTGAATTGAAGTCCCCAAAGGATATTCCTGGGACATGGGATGAATTTGATAGTGAATGTAAAATCATATAAAAGAATACATTGGTAAGAAAAGCAAAGAAACAATTTTATTGAGGGGAGAAGTTGGCTATTAGATGTTAAATTATATTTTACAGCGATTTAAAAGCCAATTTGACTGCAGAATCTGACCTGAATGGGCACGAAGCTATCAAACTTCTTAATATATTTTATTTAATGTAAATTTTTTAGTTTGCTATAGAAATATTAATGTGTTTGATTATGGGATGCTATTCTAGTACCCATTGGTTATATAATATACATATGTACCATATTATCTTTATAAAATCTCCAAAATTCTGAAGTCCAGAACACTGTGTGTACCAAGGTTTCAAATTAGAGTTTATGGACTTGCACAACAACTCTTCAGTTATCTTAAGAAATACAATATTGCCAGTTAAGTACAATTAAAACTCTCTTTTGTACCCTTCTCAGTTGCTTCCTTCACCCTCCCCTCCAAAAATAACTACTCTTCTGATTCGTTGTTCATATTCTTTAAATGCTTAACTAATTGAAATTAAATGAAATCCCTTGTTCACTTAACATACCAAAATTAATTTCAGATGAACTAAAAAGTTAAGTGTAAAAAATAAAATCATAAAGTAACTAGTAGAAAATATAGATGAATATTTTTGTGATTTTGGGAGTGAGGAATACATTTCTAAACACAGTTCCTAAGGCAGAAAGAAAAAAAATGATAGATATGAGAACATTAAAATGAATGAAACTTTTCTTCATATAACATAAAAATTAAAAGTAAATAATAAGTAAAAATATTTACAAATACATATGACAGTTGATTGATATTCTGAACATATAAAAAGTCTTTACAAATTGATAGGAAAATATTAACACTAAGAAAACTCAGAAATACACATTAACATACAGTGTACAAAAGAAATACAAGGGAACTCTACAATTTAGAAATAATTAAGGAATGCAAATTTGAAATACAAGTGTCACCTATTAAAATGACAGATGAAAAAAATAATATTTAAAATTGGAGATGATACTAATCCACGTGGGGGAATGCCTCATTGGAGTGTAGATTGTTACAACCTTTGAAAAGAGCAATTTGATTTATCAATACTTAAAACTCCACATAATTTTAAGATTTATTCTAAGGCCATATAGGTGCATGTACAAGGATGTTCATATGATGTTTTTTTAATAGGTAAAACTTTAAAATGTTCCCAAAAGTCTTTTGGTAGAGGAATAGTAAAATAAATATGCTACTATATTCATCTAAAAGAATAATAAACTACGATATATTGTAGAATAATATCTGACAGGGGAAAGTATTAGATGTATATGCTTAATGTATAAAGCTGATTAAAAATTTGAACAATTTGATCCTATTTAAAATAAAAAGTTATCTGAATTTTTGGGGGCTGAACAGCCTCAGATGGACAAAAGAATTTGAAATGTGTGAAAACAAAGATGTGGGGTTCCTGCCAGGAGTTGTGTGCTGTTTGTTCTTACTCAACCATCCCAGCTTCCCTCATCCATGCTGGGCACCAGGATGTTCTGTCTCCAGTTACTGAAATAGTCATGTGTAGGCAGGTAGCAGTGAATATTGCCTATGATGCTCACCAGTTGCTGATACCACTTGCTGGTTGGTACTTACCTCCTCTTCCTTCAAGATGCAAATTCCTTTAAATTATTCAGGATGTCCCTGAGGGAAAGCAAGAACTGGGGACTACCAGTTCAGGGTTTTTGGCTGCTTAGGCTCCACTCACTCATTCTAAAAATTGAGGGGATTAAAGTCTAGTAGCACACCTTGGAGGCTCTGCTCTAGGGGGATTCATTCAAGTGGGGTTAAGAACCTATGAAATTTAGAGGTTCTTGAACTCTAGAAAAGAGTTTAGAAAATGGAAAAGGTTAAGCATTAACTACTGTTTGACACTATTTCAATATAACAATGAAAAGAAACTACTCTCTCTAGGATGCTTACTATTTCTTTTGATTCACAGCATGTGTATGTGTCTATATGTGTGTTTGTGTATTCTGAATCAAGAGAAGTAACTTCCTAGAGGGGCAGTATAGTTTCTTCTCACTGTGTTAAAATAGCATTGAAATAGTAATTTCTTATCAGAAACAGTTTTAGGATCCTGTGGATATGTTTTAGAATCAGGTTTGTATGAAATTAATTAGTGGGCCGTGATCAATTGAGAGAATTGAAATGAAATAGAATAGACTAGACTAGAAAATAATAAAGTGTATTACATGCAGTAATGGTAAACATTGTTTCCTGAAAATTTTGTTTTAGTTGTGTGTATGCATGTGTGTGTGTGTGTGTGCGTATATGTATGTATGTCTTCCCTGTACTTGTATACTGGGCTGCAGTGTAAAATGTATTTCTTACAATGAATTTGAGGTAAAAAAAAAAAAAAAAAGGTTTCAGAAATGTTGTCTTTATATGGTAAACAAGGTATTCTAGCAGAGACAATGATGCTAAGTTTTTAAATATTAATGGAAGGTCGAATTTTATGAGATCTCCAGTTTAGGATAAAAAAATAATCAAATTATTCTTGAATAACTGCTCTGAAGGGGATAACACTACCACTCGAGGTAACATGCCCCATTTTTATTCACATTGCTTGGAAGCTTTTCCTTGTACTGAACTGATATTAGTGCTGCTTTCTAGTAACATCCATTTATTGGTTTGAGTAATAAGCACTATTTTTAGGATACCACCTTTCTTCTGATAGCTCTGGACAGCTGTTGTTCAGGTATGGTGTATAGTGTGTAGTGCCCAGGTTTAGTGTATAGTGATTCCAAAAGAATATTCCCCCCTCTTTGTGAGACAGACTGAGCCTCTCCTAGAAAAGATTGGAATTTCCATCGGTTGCCCCTCAAACTCTGTCTAATTAGCGCCAGGTATCACTTTCTCTAGCAGAGATTTTTCTCGACCCTAACGTATGTGCAGTTAAGCCCCAGAATGATCGATTGCTGTGAGACCTTAGCCTCACTATAATAGTAAAAAAACACATACACCCCTGGGTGGAGATTTAACATGCTAATGATACATGCCACAGATGAGGAAGCATGTAGTTATACTGCGAAAGTGCCTCCACATACTTAGATGTTTACTTAGACATCATCTTTCCAGCCTCAACTTCTTTAAAACTGTTCTCTGTTCAATGGTAGAATTCTGCTCTGCCATGTGGGAGACCTGGGTTTAATTCTAGCCAATGCACCAGGCTCTTTATTGGTCTCTGGTGGTCTCTTTTCATTTCTATCCTGGGAGATCCTTGGACACCAGTAACATTTTGGCTAAAAATTCCTTTCCTTATTTTTCAAGTGGGTAGCTTTGACTCCCTCTTCAAACATATTCATATCTAATCATGTTTCAGTTTTTCAGTGACTTTCCTAAAACATGACATCTGAATGTAATTTTCATAGTGTGATCTTAAAGCCTTACCATCTCACTTATTCTAGACCAAAGATCAGCAAACTATACCTTGTAGGCCAAATCTAGCTTGCCTCCTATTTTTGTAATTAAAGTTATTGGAGCATAGCAATGCCCATTCACTTAATATATGTTTTTGGCTGCATTCATTCTACAATGGCAGAATCAAGTAGTTGCAACAGAGACTATCTACCTGGCCCTTTACAAAAACAATTTGCTGACCCCTGTTGAGGCAAATGTTTATTAACGTAGTCTTAGAGCATTTGGATGACTACATCACACGCTTAATTCATGTTGAGTTCACAGTCCAATAAAACCAAGTGTTTAACATATGGTACTATTAAGTAAAGAATCAAGAGGGAATTTGAGGGTTTTTTGCTTCTTTTTTTGATACTTTATAAAGACTTTCTAGAGGAGGTCAGATTTCATTTTGTCTTTTTTTTTTTTTTTAATATATCTTTATTGATTTCTGAGAGAGGAAGGGAGAGGGAGAGAGAGCAATAGAAACATCAATGATAAGATAGTCGTCATTGATCGGCTGCTTCCTGCACGCCCCCGACTGGGGATTGAGTCCACAACCTGGGCATGTGTCCTGACCGGGAATCAAACCGTGATCTCCTGGATCCTAGGTTGATGCTCAACTGCTGAGCCATATCTGGCTGGGCTTATTTTGTCTTTGAAAGGGGGTGCATATGGTAATCTGCTCTGAAAATTGTAGTCCACGTATAGTTTAGGGCCAAGGTTTCAAAAGTGTATTCCTGAAGAACTAGTTTCTTGATATGATCCTCAATAAAAGGATGTTATGTTAAATAACTTTGGAAAAGACTGTGTATGATATCCCCTTCTTGGGCATTTACAATACATGTGTAATATTAAAGGCATTAAGAAATCCTCAATAAACTCACCTGTTTCCATATATACTGTGTGTGTGTGTGTGTGTGTGTGTGTGTGTGCATGTGTTCACCTCTGTGTGTATGTACGGAGTACCTATTAACTAACATTTCTTGCTGTTCTAAGGGACATAATAGGGAACACTGGGTTAAGGGAAGGCCTTATAAGTATAAGGAATGGCAGCTATTGGTAGACGGGTAGAAAGCCTTTGTCAAAGAAAGCTTTAAAAGTTAATATTGTTCATGTTTTGATAATGTCTGAGATGGTGAGGAAATTATTATTCTATGTACTTACATATTTTTTATATCACTTGAGTCTTCAAAAGTAGACACCCCCCAAAGTGGTGCCAGTTCCTTTAAATTATGAACTCTAGATCATTTTAAGTCTTGATCACATACAGTTTTGACTGTCTGATGGAGAGATTAATTTAGAAAAATGGGAATATGGAAGAATTAGGGGCTGTTAAGAATTAATGATCCAAAAAGAATTAAGTTAAAACATTTTCTAAAGTTAGGGTAAATTTGACCTGAGTTAAAAAGTTCAATTTGTACCCAGGTTTTCCAGTGAGGTGAGGAACATCTGTGATAAAATTTGTCCTGTTTGCACATAGTAGAGATGGTAAAATTCTTTGTGGGTTATTTTTTTTCTTTTCAAAATTTAAGTATGATCTTTAGTTGTTACAATATTGTTTGGAATATTTGAAATGGAACATACCTCTTAGTAAATTTTTATTTTCATTGTTGAAAACACCATGCAACATTTAGTAGAAAAGTTGATATAATTTCAACACAAAAGGATGCCATTAAACCAAAATGTGGTGGAATACTGCAGCTATCTCCATACTTATCCTCACTTAGTCTTTTCCTTGTAAATTTTTATCTTATCCAAGTGTTGTCTAAATGTTTGTTTTTATGAGTTTAAATTGTCTTCTCTCCACAGAATCAAGTGACGGATACTAATAGAAAACTACAACATGAGGGAAAGGAAGTAAGGCCAGTTTACCTTTTGAAAAAACCTTTTCTGTTTTCTGTCATTCTCTTTTGATGATGGTGTTCTTGATTTAGTGGCTTGTGAGACCATAAGCAGTATATTGGAGGAATTTGGGTATTATTGCTTTCCCTAGTATTTGTCTGAATTAAATGAATATAGCCACTAGAAAGCTTAATGAGAGGATGTAACCTTCCGTAGTTGTGCTGTTCCCTCTGCCTGGAATGCTCTTTTCCCAATGTCTTCCTCCTTCAGACCTTGCTGTTTTGTAATGAGGCATTTTCTAACCGCCTTACTTGAAATTGCAGTTTCACTCTCACCCCCCTGTATTCTTTTTACCTTTCTTGCTTTATTTTTCTCCAATGCATCTATTATGCTCTGATATTATATGTTTTTTCTTATGTATTTGTGTTTTCTTGTCTCTCTCCTTCCAAAGCTGCATGTGGTCAGGAATTTTTGTTTGTTTTACGTATTGCTATATCCCCTTATCTGTCTAAATAGTGACTGGAACAAAGTGGATGCTTCATAAACACTTGTTCAAAAAAAAAGAATAATTGGTTCTATTAATTGATACATTTATTTAAATCATCACAGTTTATAAGATCATTTTATATCAATTTTCTCACTTGATCCTCATAGTAGACTTATGGCAGAGTCAGGATAAGTATTATCACTATTTTATTGATGAGGAAACTCAAACAGATTAAGTTTACCTAATAAATGGGAGAGCTGGGACTAAAACTAGAGTTTCCTGACTTGTATGTAGTCCATTTCTGGTCTCTGTATCATGTGCCTTTCTTATTTCCTAATACTTATTTATTGTTTAATTTTAATAATCTTAAGATTAGCTCTTGATTGTTTTATCAGTGACTTAATCAGGGCCATTCTCTTTTGTTCTTTCTTGCCTGGTATCTAAGCAGATAACATTTTTAGATATGGGTGTGGGAGTACTACAAGAGACTGTATAGACAGATTAGTGCTCTTTGAAAGTTTGTTATATATTTAAAATTATGCAGAGTGTAGTTTCTTCTAGTTTTATTGTGGCGTGACTTCAGACCAGAGCCTTTAAGACAGCTATGGGGAGAAAAGTGAGTTACTCTTCACTAAACTGGAATTTTTGGAAAAGCACAATTTCTAAGTGTGTGCTTTATTTGCTGAAATAGAGATTTAGTTGAGATTATTTTCAAGACTCATTTGAAGTTGTATAGGGAGGATTACTTTCCTCTAGTACTCTAGCACTGGTGGAAGAAATATAGGATCTTCTCAGAGTGATAAAACCATCAATCACGGAGAACCTGAGGAGGGTTTGGAGAGAATCTGAAATTTTTTTTTTCCTCCTAGATAGCCTCTGAATTTTAGGATTTCATTTTACCTAGCCTTTCTTTGTATATAGTATGTATCTTGAGGAGAAAGAAGGAAGCCACGCAGGAATGTTTTACTGGTTGAGAAAGGCAGTTCCTTAGTCTACTTGGCAGGTCTTACTATGAAACTGCCTGGGATTTTCTGATGAATTGAGCACAGGGTGGAAAAATGTGACTGAAAGCTTTTTATTTACAGCTCTTGGCATAATTCAATTTTTTCCCCTCTTGCCAAGCTGGTAATAGCAATGGAAGAGCTGAAGCAGTGTCGACTACAACAGAGAAATATTTCTGCCACTGTTGATAAATTAATGCTGTGTCTTCCAGGTGAGGAACTGGAAATGGAGTAGGATTCTTAATGCAATTTCTTTAGCTTTAATTAGTGTTTCACTTTCTCTAAATAATGTGTGTGCTTTTCCCCCCCTTCTCTTTCAAGTCCTGGAGATGTATAGTAAACTGAGGGATCAGATGAAAACTAAAAGGTAAGATTTTTTAATTGAATATTTTTTGTTATCTAAATTTTCTGTTACTTAGAATACTTTTAAGGTATATATTTAGCACAACCTTTCAAAAATAATTAGGTTTATGTAACATTTTCTCTAGACTTTTGTATATCTATTGATTTATCCTGAGACTTATTTACATATACTAGTGGTATGCTGGTTTATTTTGTCATGTGTTGTGTTTAATAAAAAACACTACTCATAGTTTGAGTTTTAGAAGACCCAGTCTTTCAGGGGAAAAGCATATAACTGTTTTAGTGGTAGTTGGTTTGAGAAATATGCTTTGGCTTAGTATTGTAGTAGAATAAATAGTTACTTGTTCTGGTGCAGGGGTTCTCTAGAGGAACAGAACCAACTGTGTGTGTGTATGGGGGTGGGTGGAGAGAGAGAAAGAGAGGAGGGCACTTTAAGGAATTGGTTCATGAGACCATGGAGGTTGGAAAGTGTAAAATCCGCAGAGCAGGCTGGTAAGCTAGAGTATCAAGGAAGGGTAAATACTGATTGTAGCGTGAGTTTGAAGGCCGTGTGCTGGCAGAATCCCCTCTTCCTCAGGGGAGGATAGTCTTTTCTATGAAGGCCTTCAACTGAATGAAACCCAGCTGCATTATTATGGGGAGTAATCTTCTTTACTCAAAGTCTGTTGATTTAAGTATTAATAATCTCATCTAAAACAATACCTTCACAGAAATATCTGGAATAATATTTGGCCAAATATCTGAGTACTGTGGTCTACCTAAGTTGACACATTAACTTAACCATCACAAGGGGCACACAAGGGGCAAGGTCAAGGTTAAGGTTAAGGTCAGAGGATTTCTCTCCTGTGTGTTTTCTGCTGTTTATTCCAGAGGAAACTACAGTGACTTTTTGGCTCTTCTTCCCAAGCTAGAGTAAGCATCGCCACCCTCTCTGCCTAGGGTACCGTGTAGTATGATGGGGGTATGTGAAGCTGCAGGATAAATAGGATACATCTTCTATTTTACCTAGGTTTTGAGGGAAAAATGTATTTAATATTGAGATAAGAATAGAAATATTATGAATAAAAATTCTACATTCTCAGGAATTTTAAAGCTAAAGCATGAGGCATCAAAAATATTTAATTTCTTAGGATTGTTTCCCAGACTCACTTCTCTAGGAGGACTTGTTCACATAAAAGGACATAGGTAAAACAATATGAGATATGAAAGTATGATTTTCCTGACAGTCTTTTTGTAAAATTCTAAAATTATAGCAAATAAAAAAAAACATTTGTGTGCTTTCTCTGAATTAACAAATATTAATAGTTTTCCTATTTTGATTCTGTATATGTAAATATATATAGCATGTGTAAATAAACATACATGGACAGAAAGAGGTAAAGATATACATTTAAAAAAATTACAGATAAAACTTATGTCCCCTTCCTCTGTCCTATTCCTTTCCCTACTCCCTTGAAGAAACCAGTATCATAAATTTGATGAGTGCCCTTTGGTCCATGTTTTTAATATCTATAAACCACTGTATTATTTTGTATTTAAAAAAATATTTACATGCCCAGCCGAGTGTGGCGCAGCGGTTGAGTGTTGACCTAGGATCTAGGAGATCGCGGTTCGATTCCCGGTCAGGGCACATGCCCGGGTTGCAGGCTCGATCCCCAGTGGGAGGTGTGCAGGAGGCAGCCGATCAGTGATGACTCTCTCGTCATTGATGTTTCTCTCTCTTTCTCTCTCCCCTTCTCCCTTCCTCTCTCTGAAATCAGTAAAGATATATAAAAATATTTACATGAATGGTTCTCAGTTCTCATTTTTTTGAGATTCACTTATTCATTCATTCAACAAAAATGAATTGAGTACCTAATGTATGCTAGGCATTGCTCTTGGTGCTGGGGATACAGCTCTGACCAAAACAAACAAAAATATCTGCTCTTATGGGGCTTACATGCTAGAAGAGGACTGATTTTCTTTATTTAGATAGATTTAGTTCCCTTACTTTAAATGCTCTATAGCAGTCCATTATATGAATAATTCACATTTTTGCTCATAGTTCTAATGGTTGTCAGAAGTGCTGTTCACCACTATTTCTAACTGAACCTTCTCTTGGCACACAGTAGGATTATATTTCCTGGGCTCCCTTGAACTATATGACTTTCTGGCTAATAAGATGTGAACAGAAGGGGTGAGTGTTACTTTGGGCTTGGCAGTTAATTTCCAGTGCAAGTCCCTCCAGAGTCCTATTTTTCCTTGGTCATGACAAATGGTAGCTTTCAAGATGGTGATTGAATTCCTGAGTATTTGTAATGAACAGAGCTTCCCTGACAACCTATTATGGATATATAACATAAGAAAGTTATAAATCTTTGTCTTAAGCTACTGAGATGTTTGGGATTGTTTTACTACAGGATAACTGACCTGACTGATACTATGAGGGACATTTGGTACATTTCTAATTGTTTGCTGTGGAGACAATGGTGCAGTAAAATACCCTTGTTCATGTGTCTTTGGGACTACATTCAAGGTTCCTGAGAACAGTGCTCTTCAAATGTTGCTATGTTTACAAATCACATGGGAATTTGTTAAATGTAGATTCTGATTCAGTAGATCTGGGGTCATTCCTGAGAGTCTTTATTTCTACCAAACTTTCAGGTAATGCCAATTCTTCTGGTCTAAGATGTATACCTATAAGATCAGTTAGATCAAAGAAAGGGTATAAATATCTTCAATCTTAACTAGATATTTCTCTCCAAAGCAGTTTACCAATTTAGACTCCCACCAGCATTTATGGGAGGTTCTTTTACTCCACCTCTTGATGACATCATCTGTATCCATTGTCAAACTTTTTGATTTTTGCAAGTCTGATAATTGTGAAGTGATAGATCATTGTTCTTGTTTTTCATTTCTTTTATTAGTGAGATTGGCTTTTGGACATTTGATTTTCTTTCATATATATATTTTGCCCATTTTTCTTTCAGGTTGTCTATTGTTTTTTATTTTTTAAATAAAAATTCATTATGTTCTTTGGATACCTTTTCCTGTTATATCCTGTAGATGTTTTCTTCAATGCACGGCTTATCTATTAACTTTGTATAGTTAGTATTTTTTTGTTTTATATTAGCTGTAAATTTTGTTATATTCAAATTTATTTTGCTGTCTTCAACATTTTATTTTTAAACATTCTCAAGCTCAGTATTAATAACTTTTGTCTTTTTCCTGAACCTGTAGAAAGTAAATTGCTAACATGATGCTCCATCATCCCCAGGTACTTTTCCTATGCAGCCACAATGCAACAGAGAATAGAAATTAACGTTGATAGAATAGTAGCTTCTACTCCTTGTAGTAGATTCAAGTTTTGCCTATTGTCTCAGTCATGTTCTTTATAGCAAAAAAATCCAGTTTAAATCATGAACTACATTTAGTGCTCACGTCTCTTTAGTCTTTTTCAACCTGGAACTATCCTTAGTCTTTCCTGGCTTTCATGACCTTGTCACTTTTGAAGATTACAGGCCATTTATTATGTAGAATGCCTCTTAATTTGGGTGTGTCTGATATTTTCTCATGATTAGATTCATATTATTTGTCCTTGGCTGTAATATCACAAAAGTGTACTGTGTTCTCATTGCATTCTATCAGGTGGCGGATACATTTGATTTGTCCTATCACTGATTATATTCACTTTGATTACTTTATTAAGATGGTGTCTGACAGATTTTTCCATTGTAAAGTTACTCTTTTTTCCTTTTGTAATGAAAAATTTTGTGGGGAAGTATTTTGTAGTTATGTAAATTCATCATTTTTTGTCAAACTTTCAATTTATTTTTTATGTCAGTATGTACTCATGATTGTGTTTTATTTTATTTGATGGGTCATAATTTTTTAGTTTTACTTATTTTGTTGCTCAAATTATCCTGAATGACACCAGCAGAGCCCTTTAATTTGGCTTTTGTGTCTTTTTAACATGTCTCCATACTTCTTTGAGTACTTTCTTACTAGTAAAAGGAGATAATTTTCAGGCTAATATTATACTTTGCCTGCTGCAGCCCTGGAATCAGCCATTTTTCTAACAAATCACACTTATTTGGGTTGGGGAGTAAAGAATATTATTTAGAAGCCAAGGTCTATGTGCTTGGTGCTCATTACTATTGAGTAACCTTGCTTTCATTACTTTTAATGTATTTATTTGAGCAGTTCCCTTGTGAAACTAGTCACCTTATTGCTGTTACTACAACTCTTTATCCTGCTTGAGTGCCAACACCACACACTGAGTCAACCCCCTACATGGCATCCTCCTTACTCCACTTAGGCTTTAATATCCTGTGGCATGCTTCTGTACTGCCCGAATGCTTTCCTTATTCCTATGTGGCTCCTATACTCCATACCAGGCTGCCTTTATACAGACATCCTCCTTACCTCAATAGGTCACTCATGCTAGGTACATTATGCTGGTCCATCTTCCTCCTCATCAACCAATATGGATGCACTCATTTATTTAGGTGTTCTTTAAATTTTTTCAGCAATGTTTATAGTTTTAAGTGAATAAATCTTACATATCTTTTGTCATTTTAATGCTATTTCATATTTTCTGATGCTTATTTTAAATGGTATTGATTTTTAAATTTAAATTTTCAGTCACTTATTACTAGTATACTATTAATTTTTGTATACTTATCTCGTATTCTGAAACTTTACTCAAGTCACTTATTAATTTTAGTAGTTTTTTTTTTTTTTTGTATATTCCATTGGATTTTCTATGTAGATGATCATCTTGTTTGTAAATAAATACAGTTGTATTTCTTCCTTTCCAATTGAGATGGTTTCTTTTTGGTTTGTTTTTCTTGTCTTATTCAACTCTCTAGCACCTCTAGTACAGTGTTGAACAGAAGTAGTGAGGGTGGGTATCTTTGCTCTTGATCTTAGGGGGGGAAAGCATTTCATCATTAAGTAAGATGTTAGATACAACAGTGTTCTACTTTTTAGAAGTGGGAGTTCATGTCTGTTCCTTATTACTCCTTCATGGCTGGAAACATAGTTATTTTTTAAAAATGTAATTACTGATTATACTACTAGGTTTTATTTCCCTAAGGAAAGATAACTGATCATCTTTCTATCTTTAGCTCATAGAAGGGATTAAATATTTGTTAATGATGCTCTTTGATTAGAAAAGGTGCTAACATTTTCTGTGGTTAAAGCTTTTACTTCATATTCTTATCATACTCTGAATTAAAAAAAATTTCTCATGGGTGGTTGTGATCTGCTTTAAAATATCACTTATTAGAATTTTAAAAACCATTTTTGTGCAAGAATTCTATACCATGGCAAGAAAATACCAAAATTTAATTTGCCTAGAATCAACATTTCTCATGATAGCATTCAACCATGTCTAAATTATTTTGACCTTAGTTATCCAGTTTATAGGATTTTTCAGACCTCATTTCCCGCTACCTTTCTTTTAATTCCCTACTTTTATTTTATTTATTTTCTTTCTGCTTACATCACTATTAGGTAGCCTGCATGATGGGGAGAGGGGGACAGCTAGCACATATGCAAATAAAACTTAGAATTTGATGTTTGATTCAGTTTTAATAATGTTTGGAGGTTGTCAAAAGTAATGTCAAAATTTTGTTTTAGATTTCCATGGCTGTTGTAAATATAATTTTTTTCTTTTGGTGTCTGCCATACAGGTGTTTAATTGGCTGTCATTCTTTAACTTGTCACTGATATTTGAAATACACCAGAAATTTGAATAATCTTTTTGATCTGTTATAGTGGGAACATGAATATGGTAGAGAAAAGACAATTGGGAAATAAGGTGACATTCTTTGTTGCCTGGAATCACTGGGTTTTATACTAATTAGCTCTGAAAAATGTGGAGCTGACAGACCAGATGTTTTCGGCATGCAGCCATGTGTCTCATCAGTGAATGTGTCTGCAGGCAACACTGTTAGATTTTTCTCATTCTGTAAACAATGTTCCAAAATATAACTAAATCCTAAAGTGTGTTTATCTTTTTGGCTTAATTTCTGGCTTTCTATCCATTCTAAAGTTTCTCTCTTGAGGAATTGCATTTTATTGCATGTAGCTCTTCATACCTAATTTATAAACACCATTCTTTTTACACTAAACCATGCGAATTGCACTGTTTTTGAGTCTGTAAAATTTTAATAAAAGCAGCCATTTCAGATTAAACTATATCTTTATTTTTTTTTCTAAATTTAGAAGAAATAAGCCTTTCCTCCCTCCTTCCAAGTATTTGGACTAACTTTTTGATTTTTGGAACACATAAGGGGCAAAACAACAACAAAAATTAAAACAAACTCAATCTCTAGTCTTTAGTTTATGGAATTAAGTGCATTTGAGCCAGAAAAATTTAAGTTGTCTACTGTGAAATTCACTCTTAAGATTTAAAATAGGGCTATAAGGCCTTTATAGACTTGGAATGAGTTTTTCCTATATAAATATATCTTGGAAATTAGGAAATTAAAAACATGAAGAAAATTATCAACCATAATGTTGCCATCCAAAGGAAAAAAAGCCATGGTTAACATTTTTGTATATATTTTTTCTAGTCATTTTTCTGTGTACTTATGTGTGGGTGTATTTAGTGATTGTATAGCTCATGCATGCATATATATTCATAATCTATACATGTATACATATTTTTAATTTTGAAAAATGTTATGATTATACTTGTAAGTTCTGTTTTTGAAATAATTTTCATATAACAGTATTGTAAAAATTTAGCTATTTTATTATTAGTTTTTTACTACAGGGATATAGCATAATGTGTTTAATTCCTTGTTATTAGACATGTAGATTAATTTTTTTATTTGTTAGTAAATATAACTAATTCAAGAAGGTTATGCATGTTTTGCACCTTTAATTTTTTTTGGAAATGCAGCTATTTAGAATACTTCTTTTGGTAAAATTCTTCACTGAGAACTTGTATCATTAATACAAATTTGTTTACTAGCAGGCTGTGAATTATCATTTATTGAAATCCCTGAAAATAATACCCATGATCTTTTAATAAATATTTGGCAGTTTGAGTGATAAAATTATGTTTTTAATTTGGATTTTTTCACATATTGGTTCAACTTGATTTTTCATATGTTGACCTTTTTTAAAAAAATTCTTTTGAGACTTTTTTTTGTTCACTGCTTTTAAAGAAAACCTCAAGTGTATATGTTGCAAATAATCTTTACCAGGCTGTTGATGCTTCTTTCTTCTTATTATGTTCTTTTTTTATGCATAACTTATTTTGTTTTTACCTTGTCGCCTTTATCATTCTCTTATGCTTATAGAAGCTTTTCTACCTGTCAGATAAATATTGTCCCTTTATTGTTATGAAATGTTTCTCTTCATTAACAGCAATATTTATTGTCTTAAACTAGTTTATTTTATATAACATAGCTATTTAAGCATTTTTATGTTTACTTTTTGCATGGTATATCTTACTCCATTTTCTACTTTATAACTTATTTGGATCCTCGAATTTAAAGTATGTTTCTTGTAGACAACATATATTTTTATCATGCTTTTTAAATCCTTTCTGACAATTTCTCCCTTTTGATTGGAGTATATGTAATCATTAATATGGTTGGATTTTGCTCTTTTGTTTCCTGTGTTTTTTATGTCATTTTTATTCTCATTTCTGCTTTCTCCCTTTTTTTGTGCATTAAATAACTTTTAGTGTGCTATTTTAAAATACCTCTGTTAATTTTTTTAATGATTATTTTTTTGAGTTATTTTCTTTGAGGCTGCTCTGTGTACTATAATCTGCATCTTAATTTATTATAGTCTACTTTAGGTTATTGGTGATACAATTTTAGTATAATATAGTAGTAGTTTTGCTTCAGTCTAGCTCCATTTCTTCCTCTTTTGTACTATTTTGTCACATATATTATATCTATATATTTTATAGAATCAACAATGCACTGTTATAATCATTGCTTTAAAAAAATCTAAGAGAACAATGTTTTTATTATAATTTACTTGTCTTTTAATGCATATATTTATTAATTGTTAATAATTTGAGATTTTCCATTGATGTTTTTATCAAAACTTAATACTGAATTTGTCCTAATGCACAGTGAAAACTAATTCAGGCTAGAAATTTTGCCTGAGGAATGTATCTGTGACCCTTAAGCAGACTGAGTTGAGTTAAAGGTGATATAATTCCTTTTATAGGCATTATCCTGCACTGAAAACTCTGGAACATCTAGAGCATACCTATCTCCCTCAAGTAAGCCACTATCGATTCTGCAAGGTGATGGTGGATAACATCCCCAAGCTGCGAGAAGAAATTAAGGATGTCTCTATGTCTGATCTCAAAGACTTTCTGGAGAGTATCCGCAAACATTCAGACAAAATTGGAGAGACTGCCATGAAGCAAGTAGGTCTTGGGTTTATGATAGGTTGGCCAATGACTTTGCAAGTATTTTGTTAAATTCTTTTGCTAAGTGTCTTAATTGTTTCTTGTTTTAAGGAAGTCATTCATTTTTATGGGAACACATGATTTAAAAATGTGTTTTATTTTCTTAAAAGAGAAATGAATTATTTGCTAGTGTATATATATATTTTTTGCTGTGTGCATGTTCAGTAAATATTGAGCAATTGTAATGGTTTATATTGGGGCTTTGATGAGGTGGTTTTTTTTTTTTAAAATACTTACCTTGGCTTTGGATATGATTTGAAGCCCAAGATTTTTAAAAGTTCTCTTTCTAGTTAATGAGCATAATTATGCTGTAGGTAAATACCTTTGGTTGGTATTTACTGTGTAAGCAAGTTGTCATGTTACAGATTTGAATATTTCTGTAATTGTTATTTGTGATATCATTGGGTGTTAACGAAAAAGGCCTATTGGGAAGTGCTGTGAATTATGATCATCGAAAGGGATTTATTTAAAGCTTACAAATTAACAAATGTGTTAGAAATATTTAGATGTTTTTCCTTTAATTTCCTCATCTTTAAGGCACCAAAGCCAAAAAGAATGTCTGGATTTCTTTTGTTACTATGAATAAAGAGCAGGAATGATTTGCAGTGCTACTTGCTCTTTTGAAATTTAAGTCACATTGATTTTATTAAAATTTCTCAGTATACCTTATGATGTAGCCTGCAACAATAAATAGAGGATTCATTTGTTTACAGAAAGTGTTTTTTTGTTCTGTATACAACTGTTCTTGAATAAGTCATTTGTAGTTCTTATTCTGTGGGGAAGGAGGAAGTAGGTCATATTTGGGGCATATATTCAGTCTCAGCTGGCCTTGCTAATCTTTCAGATGTCTGATTCTGCAGAAGAGATTTGCCTATTGAGAATCCCTTTCCTAAGGGAACACAGATATTCTTTTCCTCTTCATTTTAATTTTGTCAGTGTTATACTTTACAAAGTGGAAAGTTTAAAGCTAATTGATGATAAACCTGGTAGAAATAATGATACCATGTAATTTTTTTTAGTGGTGAAGAAACAAAACTAATCATTGAAAATATACCTTTTCACTGGTGGGTGATTGATTTTTAAAAAAATTCTCACCTGAGGATATGTTTCTATTGATTTAGTGAGGAGAGAGAGGGAGGGAGGGAGGGATGGATTGGGGGGG